AGCACGGGGGCAGCGGGACAGCTCAGATGCGCCGCGGCTGTCCTGCTGCTGGCATGCTCCACGGCTTTGCTCCCTGTCTCCCTGGTCTGCTGGACGAGGAGCAAAGCAGAGCAAAGCTATGGAGCACGGGGGCAGCGGGACAGCCATGGCGTGTTTGGGCTGTCCGCTGCCCGCGTGCTCCACGGCTTTGCTCCACGGCTTTGCTCCACGTCTCCCCAGACCAGGGAGATGGGGAGCAAAGCCGGGGAGCATGCGGGCAGCGGACAGCCCAGACACGCCGCGGCTGTCCCGCTGCCAGCGTCCTCAGAGGCTTTGCTCCCCGTCTCCCTGGTCTGCTGGTCTCCACGACACCCTCTTCAGCATAAGCCCAGAAACCCGCATTGGCCCAGAAAACTACAGCTTGAAGAAAGCGTTTTCTGTCTCTGCACGATCACTAGAGGATGCCACAGGAAGCAGGTTTCAAATGCTCTAGCTAGCTAGAGAGCAAAGGAAATCAACGGATACTTACATGGTTGCAGTCTGAAGAGATTTCATTGTCCGGCTGAAAGAAAGGAAGAAAGAAAAAGGGTGTTACTCTGGATCTAACATCAGCTGGTTACCGCATGCTAAATAATGAAGATGTTAAATCTTCAAAATACTGCAAAAAAAAAAACCCTGCATTTTCCAAACGCATTTTAAGATTACGTTTTTCCATGAAACTATCACCAAAGCCAGGAGACAGGAAGCTTTAAACACTACACAAGAAAGCTGCTGCATAAATGCCATTAAAACGTCCCAAAGAAAAACCCCTCATAACTGTCCCAGTTTCAGTGAGGCATGGCGCTGTTCAGCAATTTTCCAGGCACTGTTGCACTTTACAGCCTTGAAGTTGCACAGTAAGGAGCAGTATTAATGCAGCTCCCACCTAGCTAGGACTTGTGCTGCATCTGATCTCTCCTCTCAGTCCCCCCAGGTTATAAGCCAAGAGGGTAGCAGCTGTGGGAAAGCACAGGCACACCTGGTGGCACAGGTGCAGAGTGCAAGCCCCTAATTCAAGGTGGAAGGGAAGGCCTGGCTGCCTTACTTCGGGGGTCAGTTGTCCTATATTTCAGCTCTGGGAGGATGAGACACCTGGACCAACAGGTAAGGCTGCAATTCACCCCCAGAAACCCAAGGGGTGCGCTTGCTAACAGACAGACAGGCCTGTCTAATTCTAACATTTGGCAGGACTCCTGAGCTGATGGGACCCATCGGCAACTCAGGGTGCAGCCACCCGCACCCCACTGCTCCCCCCATTACAGCATTAATTCACCTCTAGGAGGGGTGTGAGAGGAGTCGATTAACCGATAAGCAAATGCTTACAGGTGAATGCTACAGACAACACGCGTTCCCCTCCCCCACTCCCTTGCATGTTTCAGCAGGCTGCCAGAAGCCCGGCTCAGGACCTATCTGCGCTCAAAATACACGAGTCTCCCATCGCCAAGATCCATGCCCATGGGGACTGCCGTGCGCTGGGACCTTGCCTTGTGAGGTCCAGCAGCTCCCCCAAGTGAGCCCAACCCCAGTGTCATCCCTGCCGAGAAAGGGGAGGTCTGAATATGCCACCCATGTGTCTGACCCCGCGATTAACGGCCCACGCGGCGCACCTCCGCTGGAGCCCAACACTGCTGCCTCCGGCCCCGCTGTCGAGTTGATCTCCCGGCCACAGATCCTGCCAACGCAGCGCCACTGCGGCCAGGAAGCGAGAGGCAATCCTTGCCACCAAAGGCATGCAAAAGGGAGGTGTAGCCTGTTAGCCCGCTGGAGCGTATCACACCGTTTAAAGCGTGGAGCCGCGCGCTGGCACCTCCGCTGGAGCCCAACACTGCTGCCTCCGGCCCCGCTGTCGAGTTGATCTCCCGGCCACAGATCCTGCCAACGCAGCGCCACTGCGGCCAGGAAGCGAGAGGCAATCCTTGCCACCAAAGGCATGCAAAAGGGAGGTGTAGCCTGTTAGCCCGCTGGAGCGTATCACACCGTTTAAAGCGTGGAGCCGCGCGCTGTATGGCTTCCGAGCACGACTGAGCGGCAGCAGCCCGGGGAGAAACACCCTAGCTCCCTTTTTACAGCAGCTACTTGTGACCGGCAGGTATGGAGCA